GGCCAGGAGCCCCTAGTAGCTTCTTTGCTCCTAGTAGTAAGGCCAGGTGCCCCTAGTAGCTTCTTTGCTCCTAGTAGCTTCTTTGCTCCCGCCTAGCAGCTTCTTTGCTCTTAGTAGTAATGCCAGGAGCCCCTAGTAGCTTCTTTGCTCCTGGGCCAGGGGCCCCTATTAGCTTCTTTGTTCCTAGTAGTAAGGCCAGGAGCCCCTAGTGCAAGTGCAAGGCAGCGACCACCTTTCAACATACGGATAGGGGGGCCCTTGGGCCAGAGAGTACCAACGGTATCGATGTGTACCGATGGATATCGTGAAACTTGCAAGCCCGGCTCTGATGAACCTGGGTGATCAGAAAAGAAGTGAGGTCTTACGAGACGCATCGCTTTCGGGATTCAGTCGAGAACGGACTTCCCCATCTGAGCTCGTTTCCTACCCGAAAACATCTCTTGATCCTCAACAATTCGCCATCTCTGACCCAATTGAACAAATCTTCCCATTTGCACATCTTCACCCCTTTTAGTTAAAGTGTTCGCCAACATCGCCTGAGAACTCACCCACCGAACTCTCAAGTGTGTGCGTGTTTGCGATTCCTTGATCGCCAAAAGTTCAAGATCCACCCTACGTTGAGCGCCTTTGGGGGTCACATATGGCCTCTCAACACGATCGTACACGTTTCGACTGTCTGTGATGAGCACGCCACCGACTTTCGAAACATGTGAATCGATGTCATGAACATTCGCTTCATGCCCCATGACTTCACCCCATTGAAATCGAAGCATATGCAGAATGTCATCCCCGTCCACGGCGGCTCTAGCCTCGGCCGCGCCTGGTGACCTACAAATTCTGTCTATTTTTCCACTTTGCCAAAACCAGGGGGAAACCTTGTCAATTTCACCATGTTCCAACCTAGCCCCAGACATGGCCACAAAGATTCCTTTCGTGCTACCTCCATCATGTCTGTTCTGTGAGCTAGCGTCCGTCCAGCAGTACAGAAAAGGAAGGATTTTCAGAGGTTCATGTGAGGCTCCTTTGATCTTGTTCAACAACAGGTTCACTTCCAACAAAGTTTCCACAGTGCTCTTGTTAACTTCCGAAAGAAACAAGCTAGTGTACGCCGCAAATCGATAGCCAATCTGGTTGGTATGCCAGCTGAGTGCTCCCAAAAGACCTCTCAGTTCAGTTTTCTCTTGGGGCGTCGTTTCCTCCTTTGGAGTACGACGGCGGTCCTTGGACACATTGATTGGCTGTACTTCTTCAAGGTATTTTACCTGGTCTAGATGGAAACTGCCGTCTTCTTGTGCGTGTACTCGTACACCGCACTGAACGAAGTCTCCTGTCTCCCATTCACCCCAGGCAAATCGTTTTTGGATTTGAGTTTTTGCGTCAAGCCACTGTTTGTTGTCCGGAAGGCCACAGAACATGAAATCATCCACGTGTCCTGACACCAGGGCTATGGTTTGACGATCTGTATCTCGCAACCGCCAACAACAAGGATCAGATTTGAGCTGTTCAAATCCCTGTGTTTGTAAGTAGCTGTTCATCGTCTCAAACCATTCGATCGGTGCCTCAACCAAACCGTAGCAAGCTTTTCGCATTTTCACGATGCTTTCTGTTGGCAGGTTCATAGCTTGACATATTTCTGGTGTCGGTATGAGGTATAGCTCCCTTTCAAACTCTCTCCCCTGAAGGAAAGCTGCAGCGACATCTCCCTTGTGAACAAGAGCGTCATGATTGGCGGCCCATTGCAACAGCACCTGTCGACTCTGTCTTGTCATAGTTGGAGCAAACGTCGGTCTGTTGGCATAGTCGGGATCGAGAAATCCCAACACGACGGCTCTTGCTTTTGGCTTGAGCGTGCCATCATCTTTCTTTTTCCAGGTCAGTACCCAGCGCATCCTCAATGCCTGAGAGCGGTTTGGGCGTAGATGTGGTGGAAGTGCCTGTAACGCTTCTGCCGCCACAAACTTATCCACCTCAACCTGTTTTGCACCGCTGAATTGTTCGTGTTCTTCAGCTGACATTCTGCGTTCTGACACCTCAATGCTCCGGCGTTTGAGAGCACTGATGAAGAAAGCCTGACTGTTCTTGAAGAACTTTTTCCAATTCCGGTGTTGTGTTGGCAATTCCACTTCTATCTCTACTGCTGCGTTTGAGGAATTGTTCCAAAAATTGCACACCTCTTCTTGCCAAAATCCACTTTGCACTTCATCCACCCAGTGTGTGCCTGATGGCATGGGTGTTCTCTGTCGACTGCGGCTTCTACCTCTTGTTGCCTGAGTTGTAGGCGATGTTCGTGTTTCACCTGCCTCAATGTCTGACGTTGGTAGAGAGGGAGTGTAGTCACTGTCAACATCCACCAAGGTCTTGTCAAGTCTGGGTCTTGAATCTCTTGTGATCGATTCGGTCACAGCTGGTCTCTTTGTGTCATAGCGTCTCCGACCTGTGGGATGGTCTGTGGTCTGTCCTTCTTGTGGATCCACTGAGGAACTTTGTGCGAATGTTGGTCCTGTCCCAGTGTGGTCATAGTATTCTCCCTTTTGCAGGTCAGCTGCTATGCCCGTGAAGGTCCAAGGCAGGTGTAGTGGTTTGTTCAGCTCGTGGAGGCTAGCTTCACGTGCTGATGCATGTCTCACCTGTTCTAAGGCTACCTTGATCAATTTGGTGCCTCTCACTAACCACACGACATTGCTAGGATGGAGTCGATGATCCTCATCCTTCTTTGTCTCAACTGCCAGCACCCGTGCTGGTCCGAGGTACACACCTCGGTTCCACGAATGGTTCTCATTGGCTGGAACCGTGGTGCGCCAGTAGAACACCAGGTCCCCGGGAGTGACCACCTTGGGTTGGTACTTCCGGGAGTTGCGTGCACGAGTGAGTTTCTCTTGTAGTTGCCAATCAATGAAGACCTTGGCAGCACTGGCCCTAAGTTGAACCGCACTGTCGTGTTCGTCATCTGGGTTTTGCATCATCTCCATCGGGAGGTCATGCACTCGATTGTCGAATAGTCGTCCTTCCGAGTCTGGTGTTCTGCCCAGAGCATGTTGGAAAGGACTGTAACCACGAACATTCTCATGTTGGTTCCAGACATAGGTTGCTTGTGCCAAGAGTTGTTCCACACTGGAGTCGTCCGTCTCTCCTACCAGTTTGCTCAACAGTTCTTTTAGCCACCCAATGCTGCGCTCCACATGTGAAAGATTCCAATGTGCTTCCGCAGGGATGACTTCCTGTTGAATACCATGTTTGTTGAAATAGTTCACAATCTCATGCGCCCGCCAAGCTCCTTCCGGATCACTTCGAACAACATCCGGGATTCCAAAATAGGGTTTCCAGCGTTGGTCAAAAACTTGCACATACTCGGATGGAAGGATCACTCTTTTCATGTTGTTTGACAGGGCCGTGACCATGAATCTACTTGCTTCATCCAGGATCACTACAAACTGGTATTGTTTCTTCGTTCTCGGGTCTCTCCAGAAGGCCGCGTCCACTTGGACGCTTCGCCACCGGTCTGTGTGCACATGTAGGTTTGCCCGCTTGCGAGGGTCTGGTCGTTTTCGTTCCTCACAAGCACTGCATCGGTACGATTTGGCCAAAGCCAACACTACAGGTGAAGCTTTGTGTTTATGGAGGGCCTGAACCAAAAGGTGATAGCTACCGTGTCCGGTTGAACTGTGAATCAGAGATATGTGACTCATGATTTTCTCCCTTTCTCTAGCACTCACCTGTTTCATCAACTCTTGTTCTTCCGCATTCAGATCCCCCAAAATCAAATCCTTGTGTTCTCCCACAAAAATGTTTCCCTGTTCACCTAACATGCACCGAAAACAACACAGTTCTCTGTTCCAAAGCTGAACCTTCCGACACTCACACGACGTTTCGAATCGACTCGATCGTTCCGTGTCAGTCCGTCCGTCCTGAATCCAACACTGAACATCGCTCGTGGAAACCAAATGTGACATGTGGTGAACCGCTCTCCTAGCAAACTCTTCCGTGTAGAAGGCCGTTTTCCTCGTGATAGATCCCTCACAAACAGCATGCGGTAACTCGTGTGGTTGACATTTACAAGTGTTGTGCAACAACCTAGCCAGTCTTTCATTGGTCACCTCGAGCCTCCACTCTTTTCCAATCTTCCTACCAGTTTTGGGATCACGCATGTTCACTTGGCAACCTGAAATGATGGCAGTCGACGTTTGATGTTTGTTTCGCCATTTGTCCATGGGTTCCCACTTCCATGCACGGCACCGACGACTCCACTCCCAAATCACGGTGATGCCTAAGTGAGCGGCGGCTTCAGCCACCAACAAACCACCTATGTGTTGTTTTCGAGCGTCCGTTTGTTTTTGTTTCAACTGTTCGACTTGTTGCTCCGTTCGTTGATTGCAGTTCTGCATGGGACTGAACGCTCCACATTCGGTGGCGATCCAACAAAAACGTGGTTTCGTTTGTTCAAGAGTTTTGATCGTTTTGCGAACCCCTTCCCCGGTGGACAGATCATATCCATTCCAGATCGAGAGTCGTTCGGCTTTCAGACCCTTGCGCATAGCTTCTTTTGCCAACACCGAGTCGGTCGAACATGCCACTTCGATCAAAAACAATCGGTCCTGAGAATGCTCAATCAAGGCCTTCCAGGCCTGGGGAATGAGCTGTTCACTCTGGTCCTTCAAATTATGATATTTGCTATCTGGAAGTGGCGTGGCACACTCACTCACTGCGCGTCCGCAAGGTGCTCCACTTTTTCGA